GTTTGGGTGTGAATTAGTATAGGTTTTATAGTGTCAGGTGTAGGCCGTTTTAAGGAAAAGGTAAACAATATTAGTTTGTGTGAGAAACTACAGATTGAGATATTGTTTATTAAGATATATGTAAAGGTTAGACAATTGTGAGAAACTACAGATTGGGATATTGTTTATTAAGATATATGTAAAAGTTAGACAACTGTGAGAAAAATACAGACTGAGGTATTGTCTATTGAGATAAGGTTAGACCACGGAGGTATGCAAACAGCAAACGGACACAGCTGATGCAAGATAAGATAACAAGCACTTCAACCGGAGACTGAAGATAACGATCACGACAACCATTCACACTAGGGACTGCTTAAACAAACACAAGATAACGGCAGGAATTGGCTTGCAAATTCCAGGGAGACAAAAGAAGAAATAGGAATAAAAGGAGACAGTTTGAGCGAATCGGCCTTAGCAGCCAGAGCTTCGGATTTTTGGAAGTATTCGGTTTGCTACTCAGCGCTGTTACCTTTGTTCATATCCTACTTGCTGTAAATTAATAAAATTTTTAATTGGATTATGTTCCGTTGTGGCGCAAATTTATAACAATTTCTGGTGCCGTGACTCGGATAAGGAAGGGTGGGCTTTTGATCCTCCGGGGAAAGGCGCCCCGCGATATTTTCGCGGCCCCGTGATCAACAGCTTTCCTCAACCTTACCGACGAACCTAAAATCTAGGATAATGAAGAAAGGAAAAAACCGGTAAAATCCCATAAAAATTCTGTGCACGGGAGTCCGGACAAAGACGCAGGACGCGTAAGTATATTGCGAAATTATTCGCAGAGCGAAACTGTTCGCGGCGAAATTGTTCGCGGATTTGCCGTTCGGGCGGGATTGGGTTTCCTGGAATATAACGGATGAGAGGTTTGATATACTGAACCAAGCAAGTGTGGACTCTTAAGTACTGCGTTTTCCATCTCCCGCGAGGGACTGGGCCAGGAACAAGAGGAGCGAGTGAGTGTGTGTTTGTGGATATTCCAGAAGATGGGGGCGAAGGGCAGCAAGCCTTCGGCTCCCATGGGGGGGGTACCCTCTGTACCTAAGAATACCCCTCTGGCATATATCTTAGATAATTGGAAGTATTTCCCTGGAACCCTAGTGAAAGATAAGCAAAAAATGATAGAATATTGTACTAAGATATGGGGAGGGAAGAAGATTTCTAAAAATGTCATTTGGCCAGTCTATGGGTCAGAAGAAGATATGGGTAAGACAGCAATTAAACCTCTGGGTTAATAATAAAAAATCCTTTAACCCAGAGGAGAGTCTGTATGCGGAAGTGTGGCTAGAAAGGCCGGGGGCTAGACTTTATTCATTAAAAGAAACAAAAACTAAGCCCCAGAAAAAGAAGGAAGAGTTAGACTAAACCCTTCTAACCCTCCCTCCTTATATTCCTCCTCCTGTTCCCGCAGCCCCTCCAGAGATCCCCAGAGCGCCCACTCCCCCACCAGAATCAGAACAAGGATCCCCACCCCCTCCTAGACGTGTAACTAGAAGTCAAAGAGGGGCAGCTCAGATGTAACCCCTAAGGGAAGTACCTACGGGAGGACCTCAACCTGTGGTTGGATATATTTCTGTACCCTTAAATTCTGCCGACTTACGAGATTTTAAAAGAACCGAGATGGGAAACTTAATTGAGGACCCATTCGGAGTAGCAGAAAGATTAGATCAATTTTTGGGACCAAACCTTTATACTTGGGATGAGATGCAATCTATCCTTGGTCAATTATTTACTACCGAGGAAAGAGATATGATTAGACGAGCAGGAATGAGACTGTGGGATGCTCAGCATGCCCAGGGACCTCAAGCAGATATTAAATGGCCACTCCAAAGACCTAATTGGAATAATCAGGATCCAGTGCATAGAACTCACATGCAGGACCTGAGAACTATAGTAATTCAGGGAATTAGAGAAGCAGTACCCCGTGGGCAGAATATCAATAAAGCATTTAATGAAATGCAAAAGAAAGATGAAAGTCCTACTGAATGGCTGGAACGACTGAGGAAAGCCCTTCAGCTGAACTCTGGTGTAAATCCAAACGATCCTTTAGGACAAGCGCTCCTCAAAACTCAGTTTGTGGCAAAATCATGGGAAGATATCAGAAAGAAGATTGAAAAGTTAGAGAACTGGCAGAATAGAGGGTTGGATGAATTAGTGAGGGAAGCTCAGAAAGTCTACGTAAGGCAGGAAGAAGAGAGCAGCAAGCGACAAGTAAGAATGATGGTAGCAGCGGTCAGAGAGGATCACAAAGGGCGAACTGGTGAACACAGATCTGCTAGGATGAAACAAGGAAAGGTAGTAATAGAAAAGGAACAGAGATCTTGTTTTTACTGTGGAAAGAAGGGACATATAAAGAAGAATTGCAAAGAAAGGATCAGGGACGAGGAAAATTTGAAAATGGAATAGGAAAGTCGGGGGCTTTATATTTTAGGGGACCGGAGCCACCGTGAGCCCTTGATAAAATTAAAAATAGGTCCCCAGAAACAAGAGTTCACCTTTTTGGTAGACACTGGGGCTGAGAAATCAACTATTAAGCAAATACCTGAGGGATATAAAGTTTCCCCTGAAAAGGTACAAGTAATTGGGGCGAAAGGGGAACCCTTTAAGGTGAGAAAAATCAAAAATGTGATATTTGAAACTGAAAATAAATTTGGAATGGGTGAACTCTTGCTCGTCCCTGAAGCAGAATTTAATCTGTTAGGACGAGATTTAATTGTTGAACTGCAATTAGAAATTAAAGTAAAAAATCAAGAATTGGCAGTATCTGCTTATCCTTTGACTGTGGATGATCAAAAACAAATTAACCCCAATGTTTGGTACTCTCCGGACACAATTAGTAGACTGGAAATGCCGCCGATTAAAATCCAAATTTCCGAACCCCACGTACCTGTGAGGGTAAGGCAATATCCCATATCCTTAGAAGGACGGAGAGGATTGAAGCCAGAAATTGATCGATTGTTGGCACAAGGAATCTTAGACCCTTGTATGTCACCTTTTAACACCCCCATTTTGCCTGTAAAAAAACCTAATGGGAAATATCGGCTCGTACATGATCTAAGGGAAATAAACAAAAGAACTATCACTCGGTTCCCTGTAGTAGCAAATCCATATACATTGCTAAGCAAACTAGGACCACATAATTCCTGGTATAGTGTAATTGATTTAAAGGATGCCTTTTGGGCCTGTCCGCTGGCAGAAGAATGCCGTAATTATTTTGCTTTTGAATGGGAAGACATAGAGACGGGCCGGAGACAGCAATTAAGATGGACCGTGCTCCCCCAAGGGTTCACTGAATCCCCTAATCTGTTTGGACAGGCCCTAGAAGAACTCTTAACAGAATATCAGGTACAAACGGGGAATGTGCTGTTACAATATGTAGATGATCTGCTCATAGCGGGGAATAATAAGGAGAATGTAAAGAAAGAAACCATTTGACTCCTAAACTTTCTTGCACAAAAGGGACTACGGGTATCACAAGAAAAGTTACAATTTGTGGAGGAAAAAGTGAAATATCTGGGACATTATCTGTTTAACGGCCAGAAGATATTAGATCCAGAGCGTATTAAAGGAATTCTGGAATTACCTATGCCTGCCACTAAGAGCCAAATTCGGCAGGCATTAGGACTATTTGGGTATTGTAGGCAATGGATAGAGAACTACAGCTTTAAAGTTAAATTCTTATATGAACAATTGCCTAAAGGCAAAATACCCAAGTGGACTCCTCAGGATCAAGAGCAGTTTGCCAGCCTCAAAAGGGAGCTAAGTCAAGCACCAGTTTTAAGTCTCCCAGATTTAAAACGGCCATTCCATTTATTTGTTAACATACACGAAGGAACGGCATTCGGAGTATTAACTCAGGAATGGGCCGGACAAAGGAAACCGGTGGCATACCTATCAAAGCTGTTAGACCCTGTGAGCAGGGGTTGGCCAAGCTGTTTACAAATCATTGTTGCCGCTACTCTATTACCTGAGGAAACAAATCGCATTACTTTTAATGGAGAAGTTATCTTATATGCGCCTCATAACATCAGGGGAGTGCTGCAACAAAAGGCAGAAAAATGGCTTACAGATAGCCGATTACTAAAGTATGAGGGAATACTTATAGAATCCCCTAAACTATCTTTAAAAACTATTGGAGCAGTTAACCCCGCTGAATTTTTGTACCCAGGAGAAGGTAATGAACTATTGCACAATTGTTTTCAAACAATTGAACAACAAACACGCATTAGGTCAGACTTAGAAGAAGAAGAACTACAATGTGGAGAAGTATTATTTATAGATGGGTCATCACGAATAGTGGAAGGTAAACGATTGTCTGGATATGCCATCGTTAAGTGGGAAAAAGGAGAATTTAAGATAAGAGAATCAGGCCCCCTGAGTGCCAGCTCGTCAGCACAACCTTGCGAGCTGTATGCATTGTGGAAAGCATTAGTGTCACTGAAGGGAAAGGATGGAACTATATATACAGACTCACGTTATGCGTTTGGAGTAGTACACACTTTTGGGAAAATATGGGAGGAAAGAGGATTTATTAACTCACAGGGAAAAGAGCTGGTACACCAGGAATTAATTCGGCGAGTTCTGGGGGCATTGAAAATGCCAAATAAAATAGCAGTTGTACATATAAAGGGACACCAGCGAGGTACAAGCTATCAAGTTAGGGGAAATAATGCAGCTGATACAGAAGCAAAACGAGTGGCAGGCAATTATAATATAATTCTGACTATGCAACAAGTACCTGTTAGTAAGAATTTGAGTTTTGAGTCTGCAGAAAAAGAAAAACTAGAACAAATAGGAGCTAAAGAACAGGATGGGAAATACATATTGCCAGATGGGAGAGAAGTCTTGCCAAAGGGCATAGCAATTGAAATATTTTCAAAAATACACAGCAAAACACACTGGGGAACTCAGGCATTAGTTGATCATTTCAATCGACAGTATGCCTGTATAGGCATATATAATATAGCAAAGACAGTCACGGCAGCCTGCGAGACCTGTCAAAAGGTTAATCGAAAAAACATAAAACAGAGACCTCTTGGGGGACGTTCCCCAGCATACAGACCTTTCTCACATATACAAGTAGATTTTACTGAACTACCTAGGGTAGGGCGTTACAAATATTTATTAGCAATGGTGGATCACTTAACACATTATGTTGAGGCTTTTCCTACCTCCAGGGCAACCGCTAACCAAGTCACTAAAGTGTTACTTGAACATATTATACCTCGATATGGAGTACCTGAAGTAATCGACTCAGACAGAGGAACACATTTTGTGTCAAAAATTGTTAGAGATCTAACAGAAAGCTTGGGTATCAAGTGGGAATACCATACACCATGGCATCCACAAAGTTCAGGAAAAGTTGAAAGGATGAATGGAGAAATTAAAACTATTTTGACTAAACTAATGATAGAAACCAAATTATCATGGATTAAATGCCTACCTATGGCACTATTAATTCTCAGAACCAGACCCCGAGCAGATGTAGGAATATCAGCGTTTGAAATGGTGTATGGAATGTCCTACAGAATTGAAAGCCCACAAACAAATGTTTTAATTAGAGACCGTGTGATTAATGAATATGTTTCACAATTAGCAGAACATCGTAACCAGCTTTGGGAACATGGACTGATTGTGCAACGACCCCCGTTGGACTTAAAAATACACAAAGTTAAACCTGGGGATTGGATATTGATTAAAGTGTGGAAGGAAGAAACCCTAAAACCCAATTGGGAGGGACCTTATCTCGTTTTGTTGACAACAGAAACAGCTGTCCGGACTGCTGAGCGTGGATGGACTCATGCCAGCCGCATTAAAGGCCCAGTGACGAGACCCCACTGGAAAGTAATCAGTACTCCAGGTGACACCAAGATAACTCTAAAAAGATAACAAAATGATAAAGACTTTATTTGATTTTTTTGCTGCATTACCTTTTGGTATAAAGTGTGTATTGCTGTTTATATTTGCTATAATTATTTCCTTTTTTATCTATTATATATGGAAGCGTACAACGTGTGCTGAAGGAAATTGTTAAGCATATATAGCCACACAATAGTGAATATGAAAGATATGCTGATGTAAATAATGTATGTACTCTAGTTATACGAATTAGTTGTAATGATTTAAACTACAGTTGTTATCCATTTGCTTGTTTTAGGCATAAGGTATGCCGGGATAAATGGTGGACACGCTGTGAATGTGGATACCCTCAATATTATTATTACCATTCCAACGAACCTGTCCTCTTTGTGGCTGAAATCTTGGTTATAAAGTGTAGAAGGGAAGTACTAACTGTGTCTTGCTTTGTCCCATTAGTTCAAGCTGCAAAGTGGGAAGCCTATGTAAACAGGCAGAAATCCCGAAACAGCTGTTCTCCTGAAGAATTCCCTTGCTGCCGAGAAGATGTTGCACCCCGTGACTCGAAGCAACCGAGTCGACGGGCGAGGCAGAAGAGGAACAGACTGTGGAGAAAAAAATCAGAACAATGGGACGCAAAAGCAGGAACAACAGAGCTTCCCCAGGATTGGTAAAAATCTACTTAAATTGGTAAAATTGACAGACACCCTTTTTCCTGGTATACCGTTAGTCTTGATATTGATAATAACCCTGGCAGAAGGGGGAAACCCACATGAACCATTCAAGTGGGAACTAATATCTTGGGAAGGAACGAGAACAATAGCCACTTTTAGCAACACAGGTCCACCAGAGTTCATAGTAAAACTTTGTGATTTAGTACCGATACATTGTGGAAAAGGACCTCCATTTTATATATGCCCAGCTTCTGGACCGTCTTACTGTAATTATCCCGGACATTATTATTGTGGCTATTGGGGATGTGAAACAATAGCCTCGGGCTGGTCAGTAAAGGCTCCTGATAAATATATAAAAGCAACCTGGACTCCTAATGGATGTGTACCTGAGCAAACAGGTGTAGATCTTACAGGTCTGCGTGACGTGGATTATGTAGCTTCACGAGACAGGGAAGTCTGTACCCGCATCAAATTTCAAGTAATACAGCCCTTAGGAGACAAGTGGTTAGTAGGACTAACATGGGGAATACGTGTCTATGGAGGAATTCCTAAAGACGGGGGAGGGCATTTTCTCATAAGAAAAGTTAAAATACCACATGATTCACTCCCTGTTGGGCCGAATAAATTATTGAATTCACCCATTTCCCCTACGAAAAAGATAGTCCTCGCAAGTGTTACAACCACTTGTCCAAACCCCTTATCGATAACAAATAGAACAGCTAATGACGTGGTGACTGGTAGGGATTCAGGTGTGCTGAAATCCAAAGACCCTTTATGGGATTTAATGCAAGCCTCTTATCGTGCCCTTAATGAAAGCAAACCAAATTTAACTAAGGAATGCTGGTTATGTTATAATGTTAGACCACCATATTTTGAGGCGATTGGAAAATCCGCTAAGATTCAATGGTCTAGTGGTTCAAACCCATGAGAATGCCCATGGAATGACCAGAAAAACCATACGCAGGGAATTACTATTCAATTAGTAACAGGTCAAGGAAAATGTATCGGTACAGTGCCCAAAAATTATCAGCCTTTGTGCAACCAAACGACAATAATCACTACAAAAACTATAAATAAACACAAGAATAGAAAAGACAAATGGGCTATCCCGACACCAGGAGCTAAATGGGTTTGTTCAGACATCGGAGTAACGCCTTGCCTATCCCTAAACCTGTTTGATCAATCTCAGTTCTGCGTACAGGTGATAATTGTTCCTCGTCTAATCTATCACACTTCTGAGGAAGTGTTACGCCACTTTGAAGGAGACCTGAATATACAAAAACGAGAACCAATTACAGTGGTAACCTTAGCTACACTGCTAATAGCGGGTGGAGTTGGAGCAGGTACAGGCATAGCCTCCCTAGTAAAAAGTCAGGAATTACAAAGTTTACAGACGGCTGTAGATGAAGATTTAGCAAAAATAGAACAATCTATCCAAAATTTAGCCACTTCAGTAAAGTCTTTATCGGAAGTAGTGCTGCAAAATAGAAGAGGATTAGATATATTATTTCTAAAAGAGGGGGGGTTGTGCGTAGCGCTAAATGAAGAATGTTGCTCTTTTGCTGACCATACGGGAGTAGTTCAGGACACTATGTCTGAACTCCGGAAAAGGTTAAATCAACGTAGAAAGGATCGGGAGGCGGGCAGGACATGGTATGAAAATTGGTTTAATGTTTCACCTTGGCTAACCACCTTGCTGTCTGCCTTAGCAGGACCGCTTATTATATTGATTCTGGGACTTATATTCGGGCCTTGTATATTACGCTGTATAGTACACGATATTAAAAAACGATTTGACATAGCTAAACTGCTAATTTTAACTACGAGGTCGGGGGCAAAATATAAAAATGCATCTATTAATGAGAAGGAAGATTGTTGTGAATGTGTTATGCCACGAGGGGGCTACGCCTATTGTAATTGTGAAGTATTACCATGTGAGTGTTATGATAAATGTTGGGATTGTGGGAAAAGGTTTATTTACAGTGCCGAGAATGAAAGCAACGTCTAATAAACAATAATAGGATAAAGAGAAGAAGGGGGGGGAATTGTGAGAAACTACAGATTGAGATATTGTTTATTAAGATATATGTAAAGGTTAGACAATTGTGAGAAACTACAGATTGGGATATTGTTTATTAAGATATATGTAAAAGTTAGACAACTGTGAGAAAAATACAGACTGAGGTATTGTCTATTGAGATAAGGTTAGACCACGGAGGTATGCAAACAGCAAACGGACACAGCTGATGCAAGATAAGATAACAAGCACTTCAACCAGAGACTGAAGATAACGATCACGACAACCATTCACACTAGGGACTGCTTAAACAAACACAAGATAACGGCAGGAATTGGCTTGCAAATTCCAGGGAGACAAAAGAAGAAATAGGAATAAAAGGAGACAGTTTGAGCGAATCGGCCTTAGCAGCCAGAGCATCGGATTTTTGGAAGTATTCGGTTTGCTACCCAGCGCTGTTACCTTTGTTCATATCCTACTTGCTGTAAATTAATAAAATTCTTAATTGGATTATGTTCCGTTGTGGTGCAAATTTATAACAGTTTGCCAATCAGAGTGTCTTTGTTTTTCTAAACTATGTGGAAGCTTATATAAACTTCTACCTTATCTTGAATAAACGGATAACGCTTGATTAACCACATTGGTTCAGACCTGCGTTTGTCTTGTCCAGCTTTCCGTTTTTCTGAGATTCCCTGGCTTCTAGTGGCGCCCGACCAGGGACTCAGGAGGCTCCGAAAAGGTTCCCAAATTACTTTTAGAGTAACGGGGAGCCGAGTTTAGGTCGCGCGACGAAAATTCAGGTCCAAATCGCCTCATGGCGACGGGGCTGGGATCCCAAATTCACTTTTTGTGAACGGGGATCAGGTGGAACGGAGCAGAAGTCTCCAAACTCCGAATTGGGCCGTTTCCCAACGGGAGGAAAAAGACTCTTCGCATTGTTGTTTGTTTGCGAGGGTCCGTTGGAGCAGTGGGAAGACCTCGGCGTTCACAAGGGACCCGAACGGCGGGTGTGAACGTGGCCGGGGCCGGGAAGCTGGAGCGGGAGTGCCGCCTTGCCGAAGAAAAGCGAGAGCGAGGCAACCCGCGGAGGTTGAAGGTAAGCCGCGGAGAGAGAGAGAGGGTGAAAGTTCACCATGGATGGGGATCTGCAGGCTTCAGTGCGGCTGCTCTTTCATATTCTCTCAAAGAGAGCTGAAAAAGTTAAAGAAGCTGATTTGGAACAGTTGGTCCTGTGGGCAAGAAGCAGAGGCAAGCTGCAAAATCCTTAGCTGATTTTTAGTGAAATCAAATGGCAAGAGTTGGGACAGCTGCTTTGGGACGCAGTGATAGAGGGCGGAAAAGACAAGAAAACACTGTTGGAGCATGGAGGCATTTGGAAAAAAGTTTTACATACCCTGCAAAGCATGCTTGCGGAGAAAAAAGCAGCGGAAGCCGCGGTTTAGGCATTTGAGCAACCCACATCAGAACAGACAGAAGTTCAGAAGCCATCTCGGGTTGAAAAATTCGTCAATGTTTGTAATATGCGGCCAGTGCGAGGGCAGAAAGCTCCAGTCAGCCCCTCTGTAAGAGATGTTGTCGCTCGTTTGGAGGGAAGCGCAGAGCCAGAAGGAGTGGGGCTGGCCGACACAGGACAGAGCGGTTGCATGGCCAGGGCGGAAGCGTGCTCGCAAGCAGCGGATGTTAACAGCTCGGCGGTCCCGCGAAGTGAGGCAAACCAGGAAGTGGCCCTCCTGGGTCCCTCGGGAGGCGGGGAGACACCTGAAGAGGCAGGCGGAGTTGGTGACGAAACAGGCCTGAGTCAGGAGGAGGAACTGAGGGGCGGAGATCAAAGCGGAGACCAGGGCGGAGACGGGAGCGAGGCGGCGCTGGCCCCTCGCCCTCCTGCAGCGGCCGCGGCAGCTGCCACGGGGGCGTGCATGCGCAGAGGTGCGGCTCGCCGGTACCCGCCAGCGGCGGCGGCGGCGAGCAGCCTGGCGCGGTTTGGAGGGGCTGGGCACCCAAATGCTAGCAGAATGGCAGAAGCAGCCACCCAAACAACACCAGAGCAGAGCCCTGAAAATGCCAGTTCCCACCCCACCACAGTGGCGCTGCGCTGCCCACTTCTTCCAAACTCCGATTCCGATGACTCAGAGTCAGACCCTCCTGTTGTCAATTGTAGCAGGAACAAGCGATCGCAAAACAAGACACAAAGGCAAGAAAAAGTTACAGAAAGCCCTTCCTCGTCCCTTGTGGAACGGGTTGACAGAACTAAGGCAACGAGCTGTGGCGGAGAGCAGAAGGGTACGGCGGTGAGCACCGCCCAGCCGCCCGGGCAGACCGATAAGCGGCAGGCAGAGCGGGGCCGGCCGGCACCGAGCCTGAGGCAGCCTCGGGGCGGAGCGGACTTCGGCCGAGAGACAGAAGGCTCCTTGTTGCTGAGCAACAGCGCGAGGAGGGAGATGGGCGTTCCCGGGGGCTCGGCCGCGCTGGAGTCGGAGCAGGCGGGGCGCGGCCGCATCAGGAGCGTCTCCTAGCCCGTCCCCACAGTGACGCAGCAAGGACGGGAGCGAGACGGCGCCGCCCCCTCATCTCCCCGCAGCACTCAGCAATGGCGGTGGAGACGCTGCACAGCCTGGTTGCCACGGTAACGACAACGCCGAGAGCAGCAGTGTCACCAATGGAGGGATTGCAACACTACAGCAAAAATATTAACAGCATTTTTCCAATTCCTTGCAAGAGTCTGAAGACGTAATGAAAAAATATAGCAGTACCGAGTGTTTTCCAAGATACCAAGAAGAATAGACATTATGCAAATCAATGCTATTTCAAATACAATGTGGATGAAAATCACTGTAAAAAGATAGAAATGTTAATAATGATTTAATTGCCAAAAATGTCTCTGAAAACAAAGATTTGAGAAAAGTCAGTAAGATGGAATGTTGGCATTGAGTTCACAATTTCTGTTTTTGAGTTTTTATAGATAATAAGTTAGGTAATAATGATTTTTGAGTTTTATAGATAATAAGATAAATTATGATTGTCAAGTTTTTGTAGGTAATGATAAGTAGTGATTGTTACTAATGTTATATGAATGCTTTGAAAAGATTGTCTTAAAATATTTTAAACATTTCTTGTTGATAGGTTGATCATATAATGTAAGTTGTCTGATTTTTGTGATAAGAATTATTATTAAGATGTT